AGTGGCGTAGGTAGGGTTGGTGTCACCCGGTGCGGTAAATACATGGTGTAACCCCCCTCCCCCGCGCCAAATTTCTAGATAGATTTCTTCTTGTTAAAATAAGTCCACAGTATAACAATGACACGAACCAGGTCCGAAAAGATGCTATATGCTTGTCCGGGTTAATTTAGATTAAATATTATTTTTATGTCCTTTGTGGTATTTTATTTTAGCTAAACTGAAGAGTAATCCATCCATCCCTGTGACGCTACAGCCCATGTAGGGCTTTGGCCTGCCTCACCACTTCCTTCCACTCAGACCTAGTTAATGCCTTTCTTTTCCATGTTTGGATTTTCAGCTGCTGAAGATCTTTTTAAACATCATCTATCCACCTAAGCCTAGGTCTGCTTTTGAGACTGAAGAAGTAAGCTTACAAAAATATAATACATTCAATTATCTTTCATTTGATGCGTAATTTTGTCTTACAGACCATACAATAATGTTTTTTATATTTTTTAATAAACCCAAACTCTCACTACAGATACCCGGGACCAAATGGCAACAGCCTATTAGATTTGTAAGAGTTTCAGAACTGTGATCATTAGATTTTGCTTCTCTTAACTGGGAATATGCAAGAAACACTTCTCTCAATTCAATTTTCCCATTGTGAATTTTCACATATATGATCACTTCAGATATCTGGTCAGTGTGCGATATATTTTGTGTAGTGTGGAACATAATTCTAAAATCACGCAGCCCTTATAGCCATGATAAGAATCTCCTTCATTTGATTTTCAAAAACATGTAAAAAATCATTTTGGGCTTCTGGTGAAAGGTAAGATGCGGATGCTTTTAATGTAGATTTACTCCTAGTCTTTAGTCTCATTTTGGTGCTCTGTTAGCACTTGGTCATATTTAGATAGCATCTCAACCATTTCAATAAAGTTTCCTTTATTTAGTAAAGATTCATCTTCGATGTCACCACGAAATGCCAGATTTTACTTTGCAAGATACAATGGGATACTTTTTCTTCTCCCTGTCCATCACAGCAATACTTTCGGCATCATTATTCTGTGTATCCTATATCCTGTTTCCATTGCCTTCCACTTTTCAAGGCAACACAGTTGCTCTTCCGATGAATTTGTAATTTTGGGCTCAGTTTCCGCTACTCATCAAAGCCAGTTAAAAATGTGGATGTTGTTTCTGTAACATTAACAGCAAACAATCTGCAGCAAAAACAGTACAATGTCTGACTGACAATGTCTGACTGACGAGTGAATAAACGATCCACTAGCGCAGTATTTCTCGCCATTTGGCTTCATCCTGTAGAACCATGATTGTGTTAGTTGGCGTACACCTCCTTTAGATTTCGCATCTTGCCTTGCCACTACGCTGAATGCTCCGTCTTTATTCTGAAATGATGTACTCTATATTTTAATAATTTCATGCGGAAAATTATCTTTAACTGGTACATTTCAAAGAGAAGCATCTGATAAAATGTGCCAGTTTTTGTCACTAACCATTACATTTACAGTATCTTGGTTTGAATCTAAATTATCAGCAGACATTTCTGTTTCCAAAACATCCGCGTCTTTTACTCGTATGTTCACGTCAATATTTTTCATTTTCTCCACTATTTGCTGTATAGAATTCATGCTGCTTGTATCGAGGGAATCAGTACCAATGGTAGGACGAGTAAATTCTTTTGATGAGCCCTGACCCTAGTTATAATTTGGTTTCTTTACATATTGAAGCGTGGATCCTGGTAGTGATTTTAGTGAGTCACTAATTTTCTTTTTTGCTTTTCACTCCATGCAGTTACTTTGCCGTTTAGATTTGTGCTCGCCGTGTGGTGTGATATAATAATCTTAAACAACGAAAATGCTGTAATTGTGTCGTTTTCAAGACAAAAAACAAAATAAATACTACATAAAAAAAAAAAAAAAAAACAACAGTCAGAGCACTGTGCAAATGCAAGACAGAAAGGTGGCAGGTAAAACCCAGCAGTCGAAATGTGACAACCGTGCTCAAATGTTAAGGGGCGTCACTGGAGACGAATCGGGGAAATATTATTTTTTTAGAATTTCTGAGTTTCGATGTATAATATTATATATTTCTTTAAAAAAACTTTTTTAAAAAGTTAAATAAATAAGAATTAATAATTAAAAGATTGAAAGTTGTGTAAAAGAATATATTTTTTAAACCATATAAATGGGTAAAAATTCATTTTTAATGTTTTTAATTTTACCGATTCGATTCGTGTACTTTGAATCACACGACCACATCGTATTTGGAATTTTTCAATTGGGTGGTACCCCTAAAATGGTGACACGTGGGTTGGTTCGCACCCCTGCAGCCCCCCCCCCCTCCCCAGCTACGCCAGTAATCGTATAAGTATATTACGTCTCGTAAATGTTTAGGTAAAATTGCAAATATCTCTCTTGGCTAGGAAAGCCACCGGCTTATATAAAGGGAGTTAGTCAAAACACCCATAAAAGAAATTGCGTCCCTTGATAGCATTCTTTTGAACAAATATAGCGTAAACAACATTTTCCAAGTAGGATGGGTGGAGATTGTACAGCGCAAAACCTATAATCAGTGATGTCAGTCCTATAATCAGTGATGTCAGTCCTATAATCAGTGATGTCAGTCCTATAATCAGTGATGTCAGTCCTATAATCAGTGATGCCAGTATCAATAAAAGTGCTTTGGGAATGTGTAATTTTAACATAAACAGTCGAACATTAAAAGTTGTACATTAACAGTTGTACATTAACAGTTGTACATTTGCAGTTGAACCTTAACCGTTGTACAGGAACAGTTGAAAAGTAACAGTTGTACATTAACCGTTGTACATCTTAAAACCTAACTGGCTTTAAATACACCTTAGTTTTAAAATCCTACCGTTGAATCCATAAAGTAAGCTCAAACAGCAAATATCATCATGACACGTATACCATAAAATAAGTAATATTACAAGCAAATTTACAGAATTTATTCACAGCTTTGGAATTGAAAAATTAAATTTCAGGTCTGGGGGACACTCAAAACTTGAGTCTAAGACATGATCGGTGGTACTAATGGTCACCTGGTATAGGCTTATTTTTGTCATCATGGCACTTGTCTGTAGTAATGCGATCTCCATAATTTAAAAATCCAGCTTAACGGAGGAAAAAAAAAAATCTAGTACACAATTAAATGAGCAACGCATGTTGTCCAATTAATGCAGTAAATTATGTGTATGTATCAATAAAATTTACTTAATAATGTTAGAACTTCAGTAGAGCAATTGTTTTCAGCTCCATGACTCACTTCTCTGGGGATCACTGCTAGCCACTTCCCTGTTAAAATGCAAAGCACCATAAGACTTATAAAATAATGAGAAGCCAACGAGTCTCATCCAAGGAAACGATTCTGAAAAGGGCTGTGCGAGTCAAAACGTTTGGGAGCCACAGCTCTAGAAAAGAAGCTAACAGAATATTCCACAATGAAAGAATTTGCTATGGGAATGTGGTCAATGAAAAATGAAATGGTTTCAGAATATAACTAAAATCTGTCAATCTAAGTTTAAATTTTTAATTCATTAAACTGCGAACATTAACGATCATGATGAATGGGAGTTCCTATAGGTGACCTGAACGAGCCTTATGCGGCAAAGGAACATTAATAAAAAAAAAAATTAATTCTGGAGCAAAACTTTGTAAAAAATAATCCAACGTTAAAATCACTAATTCATACAAATCAAGATCCGCAGGTACCAATGAAAGAAAATTCATCAGCACTGGAACCGAAAATGTTCACAAAAATAAAAGTTGTCTAAGGTTCCAGTTTTTAAAAAAAAAATGAAATATAACATGAACATGAAGCAATCAGGGGCTGACATGATTAACATAATATTTCGATCAGATGGCACTCAATGACTTTTCAATACCAAGTAAAGTTATGCAAAAGATTTATATCATCCGTAAAAGCCGCGACTATGGGTGGGTCGTTGTACCGTTGATATAGCTCTTGGCAATATCTATATCAATCTTACAAGGACCCACACAGAGAGCACACAATTTTTTAAAAAGGCAGACTGCGCTGGACAGGACATGTTGAAAGGATGCCGGATTGTAGAGCAGCCAAAGTGATATACGGGCAACAACCGAATGTAAGGATGTGGTGGAGCAGGCCAGAGTCCTACATGGGCTGTAGCGCCACTGATGATGATGTAAAAACACATACCCGTTGGACCAAATCATAATGCGAAACGATTTAATAATGTAATGTTAAACCCATATATTATAATCTCCAAAGTCCATATAGCCATCCACTGCGATCGTTCCCTTCCCAGCCCGTATACCCCACAAAGGTAAAGCAAAATTTCGACTGCCTGGCGGCATCCCAAGTTATTAAAACATTTCTAGCTCTGCAACGACTTGATATTGACTTGATATCCTCTATCGACACTATCGTATTACAGCCGCACGTCAAGGCTGAATCTCAATGAGCCGGGTCTAGCAACAGAGAACACTTTCACAAAGTGTAACGGCGCATCTAATGATTTTTTTCTTTATCTTCACAGCAAGACCGAATAAATCAATGCATAAATAACTAACACAAAAATTTGATGTTAATGTGTAAATTGTAACGTTTAATAAAGTAAAGTAAGATCTTGTTATCAAGTGTTGGATTAAACTATTTGAAAGAAAACGTATTTTTTTAAAAATAAAAAAGTCACTCGGCCTAACATCATGCATGCATCGCTTTAGATTTCTGTCATATGCCGGTATCTAACTTCAATACCCCCCCCCCCCACACATCCCCCACCCCTCCCCTCACCCTCACCCTCACCCTCACGGTAAGTCACAGGAACAAAAAAGAATACTTTTCTTTGGGGTAAAAGAAAACGTATTTTTTTAAAAATAAAAAAGTCCCTCGGCCTAACATCATGCATGCATCGCTTTAGCTTTCTGTCATATGCCGGTATCCAACTTCAATACCCCCCCCCCCACACATCCCCCACCCCTCCCCTCACCCTCACCCTCACCCTCACGGTAAGTCACAGGAACAAAAAAGAATACTTTTCTTTGGGGTACATTTATTTAAATAATTGTAAATGATGAGCTGTAAGTGATCTATTAGGATTATGTTGTTTGAAATGTATTTACCTCAAACAGCTTACAGCAACGCGATGAGCAAATTAAAATAACAACACCGAACAACAATATATACGTGCGCGTGTGTGCGTGCATGTGTGTGTGTGTATGAGCGTGAGTGTGTATGTTTGTGTGCGCGCGCGCACGTGATCTATGTGTATATGTTTAGATGTGATTTTATCATTCAATTCACCATATTGAAGTCACATCTGCGGTGTATTTTTTGGGGGTCCACTGATGATAGTTCCCGTGGCAAGTGGCCCCCATCGCACGGCATTGTGTGCAGATATAAAGAGATGCCGTGTGATTACGATTCACTGACTGCTCACGACATATTTTACAGAAAGTTATTACACAGCTAAGATGGTGGGATATAATCAAATATCCCCCACCTACGTGCATGGCTTGAGCTAGCTTAAATATACAAATCCCTGGTCTGTTGTAATGACTGACAAGCGCTTAACTTGTAATAATTTAATCCATGACAATATGAGACTACAGTTAAGTTGCAATTTAGATTTAAGCTGGTTGACATTGACATTAGTTGGATTTACACTGGTTGGCATTGGTTAGATTTACACTGGTTGACATTAGAGTTACATAATTTTTACACGATTTTACACAGTATACACAGATTTAAGTTGTCAATAATTGCTGTAGACAGTTCAAGATTCCCAGCTATTAAAATAACTTTATCGAATTTATATCAATATCCAATAGTCATAATGTTGCTGAAATCCATTAATCAATATCCTTGGATGTGATCGCGTTCCTCCGGGGCATGTCCCTACCGCGGGGTCAAGAGAAGAGATCGGAAATGACGTAGAACATGACGACGACCCACACGGCCAGACTTGATCCGAACGTTGCGGTGAAGCCGAGAGCCCTGTTGAGGTAGGACATCTTGTATCCGTAGTAGAACGTCACACGGCCCACGACAAAAAACAGGACCAGGATGGGCACCACCTTCATCTGGGGCTCGGTCAGGTACGTGGTCAGCACCAGCTGACCAACAAAACTCACGATGAACTGCTCCACGGTGTTGGTCAGGTACCTCACCCCGATGGCGACGTGGTGCTCGCCCCGGCCGTTGATGGGGTCGACCGCGATGGTGTTGTAGCGGGTCAAGGCCACGTCGACGATGCCGCCAATCAGAGTCAGGCACGAGAAGCTCTGGAGGCGGAGCGTGAACACGAGCCTGTCAATCAGCCCCGGAAGGGGCGGTAGCGGGATGGGTATGGCGAAGTAGAGGGCAACGTAGGCGACCACGAGAGCCCCGCCCGTCTTGTAGGTGTGCCTGGCTATGATCTGTCTCTCTATCGGCTGGGAGCGAGGCATGGTTCAAACAGTGTCGTCGTTCGGCTGTCATCAGCTTCTCCATGGGTTTTGGTCACGTGGAATGCAGGCATCTGTTTTCAAGTAACAGTAACAGCAGAATTAACGTTGGAAATGTAACAATTTGTTATAATAATAAAATGGATGGGCTGATTTGTTTGGAGGGTTGGGAATAGCTATATTAAAATAGTTTTTAAACTCTCGAAAAACAACATGGCGGAATGAGCATGAGAATGACACCCATCAATAATGTCAATATATTTATAGACAACAATGCCGCCAGGAGCGGAGCAGTAACAATTTTGTATTTAAGAATTGCATTGGATTTTGTATCGATTAATTCACTATTAATGTACTGCCACGGATCAAATATTTAGATAATAATTTTGTTTCGGAATAACGTATTGTTTTTATGAGTTAGAAGGAACAGGAAGTTAATTGAGGTAAGTCATGTGCAGAAGTGTAGAAGGACATAATAGTGAAAATAGAAGCATATGTTAATTGAAGATAGGCTCTTTGCCATACATCTCATAGCATCGTGTTACTTATTCAAAAGATCTGTGCGAAAGTCATATATAAAGTAAATAGACGACATCAGTTATGTTTTACTTCAATTTGGGAGATGTATTTCATGAAGTGTAATTTATTCCTAATACTGTGTTGTGATGCTAAATACATGGACTTCCCCTTGAGATTTGTGAATGTGGATAATTAACACTACAACTGAATTTACAAGTAACATGGTCATCATGATGACACGATCGTTACATGCGCAATATAAAAAGTCAGTTTTTACGCGTCCCCCCCCCTTTTTGATGTTGGCACCTCCCCATGTTGGTGACCAGGGCTAGTGTCCCCCCCCCCTTCTTTGCACGACCCCGATTTTTACGCGTCCCCCCCCCCTTTTTGATGTTGGCCCCTCCTCATGTTGGTGCCCAGGGCTAGGGTCCCCCCCCCCCTTCTTTGCACGACCCCGGCCAAGGCTAACGAATGAGTGGAAAAATAAACAATGAAATATTTCTTGAAGTGTTCCTTAAAGTAGAAATGTTCAATCCTTGCTCGGCGGAACTAGTGGGCTACGTGAAGACACTTCAAAATGTTTCTCGAAATAATTAAATATCCACAATTAACATTGTGGAACAAAAAGTATCAATACAATTATGTAAAATGATTTTTTGTTTGGGATTGTAAAATCGATAGTCAATGAAATTTTATTGTCCATTTGCGCTTTAGACGTTGTCCCTAATGTGTCGTGTCCCTGAGTGCCTGTGTCCCTGAGTGCCTGTGTCCCTGAGTGCCTGTGTCCCTGAGTGTCTGTGTCCCTGAGGGCATGTGTCCCTGAGTGTCTGTGTCCATGAGGGCCTGTGTCCCTGAGTGTCTGTATCCCTGATGTGTCTGTGTCCCTGATGCGTCTGTGTCCCTGATGTGTCTATGTCCCTGAGTGCCTGTGTCCCTGATGTGTCTGTATCCCTGATGTGTCTGTGTCCCTGAAGGCATGTGTCCCTGAGTGTCTGTGTCCCTGAGGGCCTGTGTCCCTGAGTGTCTGTATCCCTAATGTGTCTGTGTCCCTGATGTGTCTGTGTCCCTGATGTGTCTGTGTTCCTAAGTGCCTGTGTCCCTGAGTGCCTGTGTCCCTGGTGTGTCCCTGATGTGTCTGTGTTCCTATAATATGTCTGTAGTCCTAATGTGCATGTGTCACTAAGGGCCTGTGTGCCTGAGGGCCTGTGCCCCTAATGTGTATGTGTCCCTAATGTGTATGTGTCCCTAATCTGTATGTGTTCCTGGTGTGCATGTGTCCCTAATGTGCATGTGTCCCTGAGTGCCTGTGCCGCTGATTTACATGTGTCCCTGATGTGTCTGTGTCTAAGTGTCCGTGTCCCTGAGTGTCTGTGTCGCTAATGTGTCTGTGTCTCTAAGGTGTATGTGTCCCTGACTGATTTGTCTCTGCCATGATGTGTCTGTGTCCCTGATGTGTCTGTGTCACTGATTTCCTGTGTCCCTGATGTATTTGTGTCACTGATGTGTCTGTGTCCCTGATTTGTCTGTGTCATTAATGTATGTGTCCCTGATATGTTTGTGTCCCTAAGTACCTGTGTCCATGAGTGCATGTGTCCATGATATGTGTGCGTCGCTAATGTGTATGTGTCACTGATGTGTATCTGTCCTTGAAATATTTGTGTACCTGATGTGTCTCTGCCTCTGAGTCCCTGTGTCCCTGATGTGTATGTGTCCCTAATGTGTATGTGTTCCTGATGTGCATGTGCCCTTGATATATATGTGTCCCTGATTTGTCTCTGTCCATGAGTGCTGTGTCCCTAATGTGTATGTGTCCCTAGTATGTATGTGTCCCACACGTGTATGTGTCCTTGATATGTATGTGCCCCTGATGTGTCTGTTTCCTTGATATGAATGTGTGTCTGAGTGCCTGTGTGGCTGAGTGAATGTGTGTCTGGTCGCCTGGTGTGTCTGTGTCCCTGTGTGTCTGTGTCCCTGAGTGTCTGAGCCGTCAATGCTGCTTATTTCGCTGATTTCCAGCAATCGTATACATTCTATTTTTAAAAAAATTAAAATATGGAAAATACGTCTTACTGACTGGCTCCAGACTCGTGTTTCGAGGATCTGCCCAAGTTTAAAGTTACCTAGGAGTTGGTACGCTGATTAAAAACTGGTCTGTTGTGCTCAAATAGTACACTGCCATGCTTACTTCAACACTGTCAATATTAGTATGCAAGGAAACAACAAAAATATTCTTACATTGACTGGCGGAATACGTGCAATTAAAAAAAACTTCAAAAAACAACAACACACTTTTACTATGGAAGAGACATGCACGTAAGAGAAACCAACACAGAAATGTTCACGTATGTGCAGGATACATACGAGGCAATCATTGCTTTGAAAATCGAACCATGGAAGAAAATATATTTTTAAAAAAAAATCCATATTAAAGTTAAACACCGAACAATTTGATTGGATAAAAAAATCCCTTTGTTTCGTCCGACTTCTCCAGCTCTAATCTGAATGAAGGAGAAGTGCTGACGTCACACTCGTCAGAGCGTGGATTCAAACTGAAGTTCGTTGAAAATAATCCTGAAAATGATCCTTAAAATTTCTGGATCTCTGTTAAAATTTCATACATGGGTCTAGCACTGTACACATTTTTTTTTCCTCCACATGATATCTTTGCGAAGATGGAATTTTAAAAAATGCGGTTGCAAATCAAATACAACAACGAGACTTGAGGGACTGGGAAATTCCGGCGAGGAGATGCGATGGGCTTTATCATTTATTCCTCCCAATATTTCTGAAAACTGCAAAGATCTCCAGGCTCATGTATCACAATTTTGAATGTCAATTTGAGAATTTTATTTTAAGATATCGTAATGTTAGGTAATTTTAAAATAAATATGTTATCATTAATCAATATCGCATTTTGATCTTTTATAAAAGTACTAAACTAAAATATTTTTTTGCACGGAAGAGACAATACAACATCAGCTTTATGCAGGGGCGTTCAACCAATTTGAAATAAAGGGCGCAATATGTGTATGTTTAACAATACTCCATTGTACATTTTCCGCGAAAAAATAAATAAAAATAAATTTAACAATCGGAATTTAGTGTTCCCCGACTTAAAAAAGATTGAGAACCAAAGCTTTAAAGCCTCGGTTTGGCGAGCCAAGACGAATCATTTGTCTATTGTGGTAAGATATTATATATAAAACAGGTAACGCTCGGTGGAGCATATCGATTCCATTGAACAAGATGATTGACCTGTCAGTATAGCAGTGTATTCAAAACCCTGAAATTTGAGTATCGCAGGAGTAGATCGACCACTTTTGTAAAACCTTGCCTGAAATAAATTTAGTGCTACATTGAACTCAGCTCCCTCCCCCCCCCCCACACACACACACACCCCCAAAAAAAGAACATTTGATATCATCCAAGAAAGAGACGACTGGTTATACTGTAAAGTGATTCTCATATCAACAATATCGTATTGAAATGTTTGTATAAAAATATACATTGATTCGCCTCGCATCAGAATTGCAGGCACGATATAATCATGGAAAAAAAATCTTTGAGATTTTCTCGACCTTGCTTCAATGATTATGTGGAGTTTGGATTTAACGCATCAAGCAATGACGACGGCAATGAGTGAACGTCCCATCTGCTAAATGTACTTGATAAAACATACATTTGTGTAACACGCTTTATAAGAATCCCAATAATGAGTGCTGGCTTTTCTGACATTTAAATTGCGCGACCATTGGACACAGCGCGACAGCCATACATACGTATCTAGAAAATTATTATTAGTGATGTGACGATATTCATGTTATAAATAAAGCCGGATCTTGGTCTTCAGCCCATAGTGGCTATCACCAGGGCTTTAGCATAAAGTGGCTATAACCAGGGCTTTAGCCTAACGTGGCTATCAACAGGGCTTTAGCATAAAGTGGCTATCACCAGGGTTTTAGCCTAAAGTAGCTATCTCCAGGGCTTTAGCCTAAAGTAGCGATCGCCAGGGGTTTAACTTTTAGTGGCTATATCCAGAAGTTTAATATATATCGGATATAGCCAGAGGTTTAGCCTACGGCAACTATACCAGAAGATTAACCCTTTAGCTTTACCTATGATGGCTATAGCCAAAAATATAACCACTAGTGGCTACAGTCAAAGTTTAACATAGAGTGGCTTTAGCCTGAAATTTGACCTATAATCCATGCCTACAGCCCACATTTTAACCTAAGCCTAACCTTAGAACTATTGCCCAACGATGGGGTGACCCAAGCCTAACCTTAGAACCATTGCCCAACGATGGCGCAACCCAAGCATAACTTTACCAACAGTAACACAACTCACGGCCAAAACAAACACAAAAATGCCATTTTTAACTTGTATCCGATAAAAACCTAATCACATGTAACCAAAATCTAACAGTTAACTCATATTCATAACACACAAGGATCCGACATTTACAGCAAAATAGAACAATTATAAAACCACGCCAAAAAAAAAACAAAAAAAAAACACGGATACGATACCTTGTTCATCATTCTGATTGGTGACTCGGATACAACACAAAATGTGTACCACAGAATATGCAGAATAAGCATAAACACCTTTTTTTTTTTAAACAGTTAACTCATATTCATAAACCACAAGGATCCGACATTTACAGCAAAAAAGAACAATTATAAAACCACGCCAAAAAAAAAACAAAAAAAAAACACGGATACGATACCTTGTTCATCATTCTGATTGGTGACTCGGATACAACACAAAATGTGTACCACAGAATATGCAGAGTAAGCATAAACACCTTTTTTTTTTTTCAAGAAAACTGTATCAGCGAAAGTCGCCTTGTCACGACAAGCTATAAGGGTTATTAGACGAATATGTTTCTAATGTCGTGGATGTGGGAATGTTAAAAATGCTGCGATAAACTGCAATGTCTTGTAGAGTGAATCTAAGATTCTTTAATTCTAGATAGGGGAAATAAGGAACTATAAATAAAGATTTTGCATTCCACTAGCCTCAAATGATTTGAAGAAAAATATCAAAATAACAGGTCAGTTAATAACTAGGAGATCTTATAGTGTTGGCTGTAAAAGTAAGTAAAGTAACAATTTCCCAGTGTCAGTAACATCCCTCACGAATGACATACCAACCACCGTATTGGTTAATAAAGGACACATCGAAATGTCAGCAACTGATTGCTATTCCCAATGTAGTAACTGATTGCTATTTCAAATGTTGATAACAAATTGCTATTCCAAATGTAAACAACCATTTGCTATTCCAAATGTAAACAACCATTTGCTATTCCAAATGTAAACAACCATTTGCTATTCCAAATGTAAACAACCATTTGCTATTCCAAATGTAAACAACCATTTGCTATTCCAAATGTAAACAACCATTTGCTATTCCAAATGTAAACAACCATTTGCTATTCCAAATGTAAACAACCATTTGCTATTCCAAAACTCAGTGCTAAATGACGCATCTTTTCAAAATAAAAACATAACGGCGTTATTAGAAAATGGCTGTAAAAAAATGGGAACTATCAGTGTCACCAGTTAAATGTAATAAAATACTTGCAACTCAGCGCGGGATAAAGACAAATACTTGAGACCATTATCTAATTGACATAAGACCACGTCGTAACATCTCTAAATAACAATATTACAGAATCTAATTACTAGAAGACTTTCTTTTCAAATATGACTTATGTAACTATTTTTTTTTCTTAAAAATAGTTACAAAAGGTACATACCACAGCGAGTTAAGTGGATGACGTCATCGTGGTGGTCAGGTCCCACGACGCCGATTTTGTTCGAGTGAGAGCTCTCTGCCTCTTCTTCAAAACCATGCAATCAGTGTCGATGTGACGACACGACGTCACATGATAGTCTGCGTCCGTGAACCCGATCCCTGAAACATTACATTACACCCGATCGCCAGCTAATCAGTCCGGCTATACACATAATGAGTTGTGTACATATGTGTATGCATAAGCCTATACACTCAGATTCAACTCAACGCTTAAGTAGACAAGATTTACCTGGAGTCGCAATCAATGTAGTTGTTGAATCCAGGGCTTGGAACGATTCAAAGAACTATATAGGGTACAAGTAGGGCCTGTGGTCACGGTTCAAAGGTCATAGTTTAAATTTTTTAAGTGCGGTGTGTCGGAGAGGGTTTCTCATTTCCCTGGTAGTTATCCCGAGAAAACGGAATACATTTTTTTTCCCTGGGAAATCCCGGGATTGCATTAATTCATTTAAGGATAATAAATGAATAAAAATTGCTGCTGTTTTTTTTAGTATAAATATAAATGCTTATTTGTTATTGTTTACTTGTGTAAGGAAAATGATGATAAGGTATTTTGAGAGGTTTATCACTTATTAATTATTGCTTTATTTTCTCCTATTTATCCTAAGAAAGCTAGATAATAATATGCGTGCAAAGTAACATCGGATGTGATCACTTGCCGAAAAATCTTTTAGCTTCACAAGTCGCAAATGATAGTTTTAAGGCTGTCATAAAATACGACAAGTTCAAGCAAATATTTCTAACAAGTTTTAATGAGGAGTGGTTTCAATAAAAACTCTCGGAGACATCAATCTTTCGGTCTTCGCAAGATTAAAACTATTGACGCGTCATCGAATGGCTTACGGGGCCGATGTCGACTGCACTTCTGGCAGGAGAACCTTTGAATCCTGCTTAAATATGGCCTTCCTTTGTGCTCTTTCGGTTACAATGGCTTTGTTTCGCGCATCTTCTGCCGGTTTGGCTACCTCAGCGTCTGGGGCGTTGCTCAGCGATGATCTCCCATTCGTTGATTTCTATGTCGTCTTCCCTCACGCTCGCTCTTTTGAAAACGTCCAAAAATTGCTTCCGCTTCCGTCCAGTGAGGCTTGCCCCACTTTGCCAACTCTTCGTACAGCAGATTCTATGGATTACGTCCTTCCTCCATTCTCCTTCACATTGCCTATCGAAGGCGCATCTTGCTAAGAGCGGAGAACATGCTACACATTTTGGCACGTTCCAAAACCTCTGTGTTAGGCACCTTGTCCTGCCATCGAATCGCAAAATGCGACGCAGACGTCTTTGGTGGTAGCTGTTGAATTTCCGCTCACGACTGCCATTTGTGGTCCACACTTGACTGCCATTTGTGGTCCACACTTGACTGCCATTTGTGGTCCACACTTGACTGCCATTTGTGGTCCACACTTGACTGCCATTTGTGGTCCACACTTGACTGTCATTTGTGGTTCACACTTGACTGCCATTCGTGGTCCACACTTGACTGCCATTTGTGGTCCACACTTGACTGCCATTTGTGGTCCACACTTGACTGCCATTTGTGGTCCACACTTGACTGCCATTTGTGGTCCACACTTGACTGCCATTTGTGGTCCACACTTGACTGCCATTTGTGGTCCACACTTGACTGCCATATAGGAGCGTACCGAGCCCTCATGCCTGATAGAGGCTTTGTTTGAGGCTTTAGGTGTGTTTAGGATTACTCTTAGAGCTAGAGCTATTTTACCCAGCAGGTAGATACACATCTCAACAAGTGGCAGGTTATGGCCCTCAAGATTTGTTTTTGCTTGGAGGTGAGTGTGTTTCAAGCGTCAAGACGTTTGTTTTCTGTATACTAATGGTCAGTTCTGTCTCTACAGGAATGGGAATGGCGATTAACTAACTACTGCGATGTTAAGGCGGCATCGTCAGCGAACACCAGTTCACGAATTAATACCCGTTTTTTACCTTGGTCTTGGCACGAAGACGGGAGATATTGACCTGCTTACCATCAGATCTGGTATGGATGTACACTCCGTCTTCACAGTCCCTGAATCCAAACGCAAGAAGCACTGGGAAGAAACGGAGTAGAGCGTTGGTGCCAATGCACATCCTTGTTTTACCCCGATTCTGACTGGGAATAATATAAAGGTATAAGCTTGAGACTTAAAATGCCTGGTATAATATGTTACCAGAGCACAGGTTCTCAGTCCGTGGTACGTGACCTCCAACTGAGTTGCGAAGGGAGTTCTGTGGTTTGGCACTCTTGACAGTATTTCTAAGAGTATCGATACAAATCCAATCGCCTCTCTATGGACAGGTTCTGCCGGCAATCAGGTCATGCGTTTTAAAGTTGGTTAAAGAACAAGTCATGCCTGAACTCATGCCATTCAGTGATTTAAATTGGCATTGAATTGTTTCCTTACTTTGTCATACAATTCAAGCTTTTAAATCATTTTAACTTACAGCTAATTTTAAAAAAAAATTATAACCGACGACTAATTTAGCTGGGAAAAAAAAATGTATACAAGACGTTATGTAACCATTTTTGTTTATGTGGTCATTTTTACAGAATTTTAGGACGTCATTTGTTTTGCTTGGAAACGAGTCATATTACTGATCCAAATTAAGTTGTGGGACATTGTATTTATGTCACTGAAAAAATACAATACAGTACTGGAGAATGTTTTAAATGTACAAAGTCTTAAATAGACCATGTTTAAACTCACGATGTCTTAAACGGACAATGTCTCAAATGGACAATGACTTAAACGGACAATGCCTTAAACGGACCATGCCTTAAACGGACAATGCCTTAAACGGACAATGCCTTAAACGGACTATGCCTTAAATGAACAATGCCTTAAACGGACAATGCCTTAAACGGACAATGCCTTAAACGGACTATGCCTTAAACGGCCTATGCCTTAAACGGACTATGCCTTAAATGGACAATGCCTTAAACGGACTATGCCTTAAACGGACTATGCCTTAAATGGACAATGCCTTAAACGGACAATGCCTTAAACGGACAATGCCTTAAACGGACTATGCCTTAAACGGACTATGCCTTAAATGGACAATGCCTTAAACGGACTATGCCTTAAACGGACTATGCCTTAAATGGACAATGCCTTAAATGGACAATGCCTTCTACTGATACTGACCATGCCTTTAGGGCGTACACCCCTTAAAATATGTTATTTAAGTCTCTCTTGAAAAACTTTGAAAATGAATTAATAGACAAATCATGTTTCCTTACGACATTCACGTATAATGAAAGGCAACACACAATTTAGTATTTAACTATTACATTTTAATTAACACTCAATACATTTTTTTTTTATTCATCAGCAAATATAAACAATTTAAATATTGAAATGGGCAATACGTTTTGTGGAAGATACGTCTATAAGAATGTTGGTTTACTGTAGCAGACTTGTGATGACCTTGAACATGACGACGACCCAGACCACCACGCTCGCAGCGAAGGTCGCCACGAAGCCCGCGGTTCTCTTCAAGTACGAGGCCCTGTAGCCGAAGAAAAACGCAAGGCGACCGAACACGAAGAACAGCACCAGGATCGGGATGACCCTCATCTGGCCCTCCTCCAGGTACGTGGTCAGTATGAGCTGCCCGGCGGAGCTCACGACCAGCTGCTCGACCGTGTTGGTCAGGTACCTGACGCCCACGGCCACGTGATGCTCGCCTTGCCCGTTGATCGGGTCGATGGCCGTCGTGGAGAACCTGGTCAGCGCCACGTACTGGATGCCACCGATCAGGGTCAGACACGAGAAGCTCTGGAGCCGCAGCGTGAAGACGAGCCGGTCGAGCAGGCCGGGCAGGGGCGGCACGGGGATGGGGGTGATATAGTAGAGGACGTAGAAGGTCAGAGCCAGGCCGGCGGCGGTCAAGATGCCGTTGGTGATGATGACCTTCCTCTCCCCCGGCTGTGACGTGTCGGACTTGGACGATCTCGGGTGCTGTGACGGTGATGACCTTTGAACCGCATTTTTTCTAAGCGCGGTTGACATACTGATACCTGAAAATGGACGATTTTAGTATTAGTTAGGATTTCAAAAAAAAAAAAAATAAAATGTGTCATAGTCTGGAGGCACGACACAGCATGTTAAGTGTGTCATAGTCTGGGGGCATGACACAGCATGTTAAGTGTGCCATGGTCTGGAGGCACAACACAGTAGTTAAGTGTGTCATAGCCTGGAGGCCCGACACAGTAGTTAAGTGTGCCATAGCCTGGAGGCACGACACAGTAGATAAGTGTGTCATAGTCTGTAGGCACGACACAGTAGTTAAGTGTGTCATAGTCTGGTGGCACGACAAAGCATATTAATTGTGCTTACCTGCTATACAAATAAAATTGCGTCTTTTCACTGACAAGATGCAATTGAAATCAGTGGCGTACACTGGGGTTAGGGACTTCCCCCTCCCCCAACTCACTTAACTCTGCTATTGGCCATAAGTGCAGCCACTCCGTAGGAGGGGGGGACTCCCTTACCCATCCGCCCACCCTCTCTACGCCACTGACTGTATTTGCGGCTGCATATCTGGCAACAATCAACTGTGATTGAGTTAACTTATTTATACCTGGCAACATGCACGTGCATTTGAATAAGTTTATCTTGCAATTTACAACTATGATTATGTGCGCATATTTTGCAAATTACAACTAAAACCAGGGCCGTTGTTGGGAAAACGGCGCCTGGAGCAAAACCAAATTGGCGCCCATCAATATAGAAGGGGGGAAAATTGCTGCTGGGGTCATACCAGTAACAAGAAGATTTTGGCGCACCTCGTCTTCTTGAAGTACGTGGAATTTTATCGTATCATTCACTAACACGGTCATATATAAAGTTAATGTGGCGCTACCCGGATGTTGGCGCCCCATGTGAATTATCCCTTGCGTGCCCCCCCCCTCCCTTAGCAACATAGCTAGTTGTTGTTTCCTTACGAAAATTAAGCGCGCTATCTTGACTTACAAATCACGTGATTTTTTTAAAATAATAACAGAAAGATAGATATGAAAAAAACGGAGAACCATTTGTTTGTTTCGATAACTGTAACACTATGCATAACAGCAAGCGGTCGTGCGAGCCGCGCTAATCCATGTAGGTCAAAGTACAAAGCTACTATAGTACACTTGTGACATGGTATATACTCATCCTACTAAATATTACACTTGCTGACACTTGGTAAGAGAATACTGTGTTGGACTCAAGGCTTTATCTTGCAGCCTAACCAAATGATCTGGACTAAAATGATAGGCCTTTATCTTGCGGCAGACAAGGGAAAGAGATGGTGCTATTTCGTTCTGAGACATAGTTCTATAAGTTATCGGCCTACAAACACGGTTGTTTATCTATGAACAGACTGTGTAGAGATGGTCAACCTACAAACACAGTTGTGGGTCAACCTACAAACACAGTTGTGGGTCAACCTACAAACACAGTTGTGGGTCAACCTACAAACACAGTCGCGTAGTTGCCTTACAAACACGGTTTGCGTGAGTCACCTTACAAACACTGTGTTGTGGTCAACTAACAAACAGTCGTTTGGTCGCTTTACTAATTTCCTTACAAACACAGTTATTTGTCAATCTTACAAACGCAGAGTTGTGTTCACCTTATGAATATACACACAAACACTCAATAAAGATCACAACACACGTAAAGCAAATATCTCAGTTTCTTCCCCGGTCTCCAGTCTTACGTTCAGTTGCCTGAGCTCAATAAGTAATCCCTGGATCACGTGACGCGAGGTCTTAAGTTTCATTCTAGTCAAATTATGCTGCACGCAGAATATCTCCAGTAACAGCATTACTGCCCTAAAAGGATATTTACATTCTAACTCTTGTATATCTCGACTAATTATAGCTTTATTGCCTCTAATGGATGTTTACATTCTAACTCTTGTGTATCTCGACTAATTATAGCTTTATTGCCTCTAATGGATGTTTACATTCTAACTCTTGTGTATCTCGACTAATTATAGCTTTATTGCCTCTTATGGATGTTTACATTCTAACTCAGAGTATCTCTAGTAATAGCGTTACTGCATCTAATAGATGCTTAAATTGTAACTCAGAGTATCCCGATTACAAGCGTTACTGCCTCTAGTAGATATTAACAGCCTTCTCTTCGATAAATTACGAATGTGTCGTCAAACATAGTGGAGGAAAAAAAAAGCCTAGGTCTGGTGATATTAAATGAAGGACTGCATTTAAGCCGTTGGACGAAAATAGTGGCACAATGTTAAATTGTGAAGCCTGACTTGACAAAGACTGGACACGCTATAGTTGTGTCTTGATTTGCCTTGTCTTATGAAGAAGGCTTTCGGCCAAAACGTTCTCCTTTCATTGTCCCGTCATTTCATGCCAAGCTTCAACAGACCTTGTCCCGTCATTTCATTCCAAGCTTCAACAGACCTTGTCCCGTCATTTCATTCCAAGCTTCAACAGACCTTGTCCCGTCATTTCATGCCAAGCTTCAACAGACCTTGTTCCGACATTTCTTTCTGGCGATTCCTGATTGATGGGTGCCGCAGCTAATTTCATGATGGTGTTTGAAACGTTCATACAGACACGCGTAGAGGCGTCAGACACACAGCATGGGACACTATCTTTACAACTAATTGGAATATATTCTGCGTGAGGCACATTAAAGGGAGATTATCAAACCGATCACGTCACATAATTAAATCTATAGTTCTCTAACTTTAAGGCATCAGGCAATTCCTCATGAACACCGCCTCCGGCAACCCCAACCCCCATGTCTCACTTTGGGTCATCTTATTCCTTGAAATTGTCACGGACAGGCCTCAAATGTGGAGTTATTGCAAATTGTAAAAATAGCCATTCCCAACAAATTCAACATTGTTAAAAAAGATTATAATTAAAAAATTTCTTAATCTTATTGTTTAAATCCATTTTTATTTCGTGTGAGGGTTTAAGAGGGTAATCGCGTCCTGTTCGGTGAGCAAGAAAGTATCATCCCGTGGAGTAGCGCCATCTTTAAATGAATTCATCATCTCAATGTGTAAACTTCCAATGTCCAGGCTGTCAAAACGACAATACAAGTTGGGATGGGGGTGCAAAAATGAAATGGCGTAAAAAGTTGAAAAGAATATTCACACTTTATGCTCTTTCCAATAAATTCTGTTAATCTATGAACAAGGCTTGAACTTATAACTTTATTAAAGAGAAAAGAAGCAAGAATGCTCTTTTTTAAAACTGTATCGGACTTGATGTTGAAACTATCTCCCAACTGTTGCTACGAGTTAAGAGGACGCCGATCAATGGCAGGCAAAGTTCAATAATGGCCAGAGACCAACGCACACCAGGCCATTTGGTGAATTGGACGGTGAGATAGTCCAGTTATGGCAGGCCATTTGGTGAATTGGACGGTGAGATAGTCCAGTTATGGCAGGCAATTTGGTGAATTAGATGGTAAGTTAGTCCAGTTATGGCAGGCCACTTGGTGAATTAGACGGTGAGATAGTCTAGTTATGACAGGCCACTTGGTGAATTAGACGGTGAGATAGTCCAGTTATGACAGGCCACTTTGTGAATTAGACGGTGAGATAGTCCAGTTATGGTAGGCTATTAGGTGAATTATTCGGTGAGAGAGTCCAAAGATGGAAGGCTGTTTGGTGAATTAGACAGCGAGATAGTCTAATTATGACTGGCTATCTGGTGAATTAGACGGTGAGATAGTTCAGTTATGGCAGGCAATTTGGTGAATTGGACGATGAGATAGGCCAGTTATGGCAGGCCACTTGGTGAAATGGACGGTGAGATAGTCCAGTTATGGCAGGCCACTTGGTGAATTGGACGGTGAGATAGTCCAGTTATGGCAGGCCACTTGGTGAATTAGACGGTGAGATAGTCCAGTTATGGCAGGCCACTTGGTGAATTGGACGGTGAGATAGTCCAGTTATGGCAGGTCCCTTGGTGAATTGGACGGTGAGATAGGCCAGTTATGGCAGGCCACTTGGTGAATTGGACGGTGAGATAGGCCAGTTATGGCAGGCCACTTGGTGAATTGAATGGTGAGATAGTCCAGTTATGGCAGGCCACTTGGTGAATTAGACGGTGAGATAGTCCAGTTATGGCAGGCCACTTGGTGAAATGGACGGTGAGATAGTCCAGTTATGGCAGGCCACTTGGTGAAATGGACGGTGAGATAGTCCAGTTATGGCAGGCCACTTGGTGAATTGGACGGTGAGATAGGCCAGTTATGGCAGGCCACTTGGTGAATTGGACGGTGAGATAGTCCAGTTATGGCAGGCCACTTGGTGAATTGGACGGTGAGATAGTCCAGTTATGGCAGGCCATTTGGTGAATTGGACGGTGAGATAGTCCAGTTATGGCAGGCAATTGGTGAATTAGACTGTGAATTAGTCCAGTTATGGCAGGCAATTTGGTGAATTAGACTGTAAGATAGTCCAGTTATGACAGGCCACTTGGTGAATTAGACGGTGAGATAGTCCAGTTAAATGGCAGACCATTTGGGGAATTAGATGGTGAGATAGTTCAGTTATGGCAGGCCGTTTGGTGAATTAGACGGTGAGATAGTCCAGTTATATGGCAGACCATTTATGAATTAGACGGTGAGATAGGCCAGTTGTGGTAGGCTTTTAGGTGAATTATTCGGTGACAGAATCGAATGATGGAAGGTTATTTGGTGAATTTGACAGCGAGATAGTCTAATTATGACTGGCTATTTGGTGAATTAGACGGCGAGATAGTCCAGTTATAGGGCAGACCATTTGGTGAATTAGACGGTGAGATTGTCTAGTTATGACAGGCCGTTTGGTGATTAGACGGTGAGATAGTCCAGTTATGACAGGCCACTTGGTGAATTAGACGGTAAGATAGTCCAGTTATGATTGAGTTATGGTAGGCTATTAGGTGAATTATTCGGTGAGAGAGTCCAATGATGGAAGGCTATTTGGTGAAATAGACAATGAGATAGTCCAATTATAGCAGGCTATTTAAAACATTATATTTATATAAATCATATTTTGACATTATTAGTCCAATAATTACGCTTTTTTTATACAATTATGACATAGTCAACCACTGACATAGACAGTTCATGAGACTATTCAATGTAAAAAAAAAATGAACCATAGAAATTTACATATCAAAATATTAATTATAAGGTCACATTGTTGATAATTTACAAGACCACACAAAATATATAATTAACCATATGTTACTGACTGTGTGTAGAGTACAGTAGAACTGCTCCGAGTACTCACTTTGTGTAGAATATAGTAGTGTTATTTCGAGTACTGACTGTGTGTAGAATACAGCACACTACCTCCGAGTACTAACTGTGTGCATAGTACAGTAGACCTGCTCCAAGTACTAGCTGTGTGCAGAGTACTCACTGTGTATAGAGCACAGTAGACCTCCTCCGAGAACTGACTGTATGCAGAGTACTGACTGTGTGTAGAGCACTGACAGTGTATAGAGTACAGTAGCCTGCTCGGATAAGGACAACACAGGATCAACCGAGTGACGGAAGACATCAACAGTTGCGATTAAGTGAAGGGTCGAGTGGGTGGGAGGGGGGCTGTGTGAGAGGGGCAGCAAACAGGAAGGGGGGTTGTTGGGTGGATCCTTTATATGCATTTTTGTTTAGACTCTAATCAATATACATGATTTATCATTTATTGTTAATAAGCGTTTTTGTATATGATTAAACTTCTGGCGAAAACACGTTTCATATTTCATTCATTTTCCAATCCTAAAATAACTTCAATTTTTACTGCACTGTCTTTTGTTGAATTATTAAAGCCGTAAAAAATTTTGTTTTTAGGGGTTAAATTGTATAAGATCTACCTTTCTTAAATCTTAGACACCAACCATTATTTGGGGGGCGGAGGGCGGGATAGGTAAAAATTGATTTTCGGGGTTTGAGGTGGGGCTGAAAATTTGAAAGAATGTTTTGTTAACGGCAACGAGTCTGTGTGTCAAATTTTCAGATAGAGAGATGTCGGAAAGTGGGTCAATTACCCTCCCGAAGATTTCACCAAAATGAAACAAAAAAAGTGAAGTCAACATGAAGGATTGACAAATACACACTAGCTTGGTTATTTTTTTAAACCTTGTTCACACGATCAGGGAGAATAGCTGCTGGGGGGTTAAAGATCAGACACGGTGCGAGTAATCCTGAAATCCAGGTCATGGTACGTACATCTGGTTCAGCTACAGGTCAAAGCTCAACTGTCTCAAGCAGCCTTGAAGACAGTGTGATACTAGGCAATGCTACCTTTGTTTTGGTTTAGCATGAGCTTCCAATGTAAACGCTGTGAGATCAAACCTAAAAATAGGTTTGGGTTCAAATGTTTAAAAAAAAATTATTAGTCAAATTTTTTTTTGTTGTTAATATCTTTTTGATTTGGGTTTAACTTCTCCTTTCAGTAGTGTACATCCATTGTGTATGAATGACGATCAGGTGGTAGACTTGATCTCTGATATTGATGGTCAACGAATCCCTTTTCGCCTTTAGGGTCGTTGAAAACCAAGACCCAAGTTTCTGAACCACCTTTCCAAACGTATGGTTCTCATTAATGGCTACTTCCACTTCGGCGTATAACATTTTATCCCCCCTCCACTCACTGTCATTTCCAGATACGCCGCTGAGGATTCACTCACGTACTCAGTGGCGTAGCGAAGGTTAGCGCCACCAGCACAGATCAAGCTTTCTTGGTGCCCCCATCTCAAGAAAAAAAAACAACCATGCAGTTGGGCGAAAATACCGCCCCTAAAGAAATAGAAGCAACTCCCGGGGCGAACGGCCCCTCCCACAACTCTTCCTCCGCCATTGCACGTATCCCACGACCCACAACACATCCCAACCTTTCTACGCCACTGGACGTACCACACCGCCCATAAAACATCCTACCTTTCTACGCCACCGCACGTATCCCACGACCCACAACACATCCCAACCTTTCTACGCCACTGGACGTACCACACCGCCCATAAAACATCCTACCTTTCTACGCCACTGCACGTACCACACCACCCACAACACATCCTTCCTTTCTATACCACTGGACTTACCACACCACCCACAACACATCCTACCTTTCTACGCCACTGCACGTACCACACCACCCACAACACATCCTTCCTTTCTATACCACTGGACGTACCACACCCCCCACAACACATCCTACCTTTCTACGCCACTGCTAGTACCACACTGCCCACAACACATCCTTCCTTTCTACGCCACTGGACGTACCACCCACAACACATCCTACCTTTCTATACCACTGGACGTACCACACCACCCACAACACATCCTACCTTTCTATACCACTGGACGTACCACACCACCCAAAACACATTCTACCTTTCTATACCACTGGACGTACCACACCGCCCACAACACATCCTACCTTTCTATACCACTGGACGTACCACACCACCCATAACACATCCTACCTTTCTAGGCCACTGCTAGTACCACGCTGCCCACAACACATCCTACCTTTCTATACCACTGGACGTACCACACCACCAACAACACATCCTACCTTTCTATACCACTGCACGTACCACACCACCCACAACACATCCTACCTTTCTACGCCCCTGCTAGTACCACACTGCCCACAACACATCCTACCTTTCTATACCACTGGACGTACCACACCACCAACAACACATCCTACCTTTCTATACCACTGGACGTACCACACCACCAACAACACATCCTACCTTTCTATACCACTGGACGTACCACACCACGAGCAACACATCCTACCTTTCTAGGCCACTGCTAGTAGCACACCACGAGCAACACATCCTAACTGTCTATACCACTGGACGTACGACACCGCCCACAACACATCCTACCTTTCTACGCCACTGCTAGTACCACAACACCAACAACACATCCTACATTTCTACGCCACTGGATGTACCACACCACCAACAACAAATCCTTCCTTTCTACGCCACTGGATGTACCACACCACCAACAAAACATCCTACCTTTCTACGCCACTGCTAGTACCACACCACCAACAACACATCCTTCCTTTCTACGCCACTGCTAGTACAACACCACCAACAACACATCCTTCCTTTCTACGCCACTGCACGTACCACACCACCCACAACACATCCTTCCTTTCTACGCCACTGCTAGTACCACACCACCCACAACACATCCTTCCTTTCTACGCCACTGGACGTACCACACCACCAACAACACATCGTTCCTTTCTACGCCACTGGACATACCACACCACCAACAACACATCCTTCCTTTCTACGCCACTGCTAGTACCACACCACCCACAACACATCCTTCCTTTCTACGCCACTGGACGTACCACACCGCCAACAACCCATCCTTCCTTTCTACGCCACTGCTAGTACCACACCACCCACAACACATCCTTCCTTTCTACGCCACTGGACGTACAACACCACCAACAACACATCCTACCTGTCTATACCACTGGACGTACTACACCACCCACAACACATCCTTCCTTTCTACGCCACTGGGTGTACCACACCACCAACAACACATTCTTCCTTTCTACGCCACTGGACGTACCACACCACCCACAACACATCCTTCCTTTCTACGCCACTGGATGTACCACACCACCAACAACACATCCTACCTTTCTACGCCACTGCACGTACCACACCACCCACAACACATCCTTCGTTTCTACGCCACTGCACGTACCACACCACCAACAACACATCCTACCTGTCTACGCCACTGGACGTACCACACCACCAACAACACATCCTTCCTTTCTACGCCAATGGATGTACCACACCACCAACAACACATCCTTCCTTTCTACGCCACTGGATGTACCACACCACCAACAACACATCCTACCTTTCTACGCCACTGCACGTACAAAACCACCAACAACACATCCTACCTTTCTACGCCACTGCTAGTACCACACCACCAACAACACATCCTTCCTTTCTACGCCACTGGATGTACCACACCACCAACAACACATACTTCCTTTCTACGCCACTGGATGTACCACACCACCAACAACACATCCTTCCTTTCTATGACACTGGTTGTACCACACCACCAACAACACATCCTACCTGTCTACGCCACTGGACGTACCACACAACCAACAACACATCCTTCCTTTCTACGCCAATGGATGTACCACACCACCAACAACACATCCTTCCTTTCTACGCCACTGGATGTACCACACCACCAACAACACATCCTACCTTTCTACGCCACTGGATGTACCACACCACCAACAACACATCCTTCCTTTCTACGCCACTGCTAGTACCACACCACCCACAACACATACATCCTTCCTTTCTACGCCACTGGACGTACCACACCATCAACAACACATCCTTCCTTTTTACGCCACTGGATGTACCACACCACCAACAACACATCCTTCCTTTCTACGCCACTGGATGTACCACACCACCAACAACACATCCTACCTTTCTACGCCACTGGATGTACCACACCACCAACAACACATCCTTCCTTTCTACGCCACTGCTAGTACCACACCACCCACAACACATACATCCTTCCTTTCTACGCCACTGGACGTACCACACCATCAACAACACATCCTTCCTTTTTACGCCACTGGATGTACCACACCACCAACAACACATCCTTCCTTTCTACGCCACTGGATGTACCACACCACCAACAACACATCCTACCTTTCTACGCCACTGGATGTACCACACCACCAACAACACATCCTACCTTTCTACGCCACTGGATGTACCACACCACCAACAACACATCCTACCTTTCTATACCACTGGACGTACCACACCGCCAACAACACATCCTACCTTTCTACGCCACTGGACGTACCAGACCGCCAACAACACATCCTACCTTTCTACGCCACTGCTAGTACCACACTGCCCACAACACATCCTTCCTTTCTATACCACTGGACGTACCACTACACACAAAACACCCTACGTTTCTACGCCACTGGACATACCACAACTGCAACAACACAACCTATCTTCTACCTGCATGCAACATGACGTTCCCCTATTGTTCCATAAACGTCCCCCTAGCATCCCGACCTCTGAGTAGATCTAGCACCCTGACCTGCCACTTCATCACTTTCATGTGTCACGTCGCAGCTCTTCATTTCCATACAGACTTTTAACAATTCACCAAACGACTCTCAACACAAATGTATTGAACAGTGAGTTTTTATTGGCAACGAGAGGAGATTGGTTCGCACGATAACCGCCAAGTCTGGCGTAGCACTTCAACTAAAGTGTGTAATAATGTGTACAATAAAGAGGTACATAAAGATGATATGTACTCTTAAAATATCAAATCGTTTTATTTAAATCATTAATCATGACTATAAATAAAGAAGAGGTATTCAAATGAATGTGTCTAGTACTTAGGATGTCTTTAAATAGACAACAGTGGCACTTTTAAATTTTGGGTCAAGCTCGTACTAAATACATTCTTATTGGTTGATAAGTGTCAAT